CTGGACTGAAGAAACTCCAAGGAGGCTAGTTGCTAGGGAGAGGAAGCCGGGCGTTGCTATGTGACATCATTACCCGGCGCCCACAGCAACCGTTTCTGGGCTGGGCTGTGGGCCGCATTTTGTGCTATGGGGTCTTGGCAGTGTTGGGTGCGATTTTGGTGGGGTGTTGCTCAGGGGTGGTGGCCTCTTTCCCACTTGGGGGAAGCCGAGTGTTGGTTTGTCCGCACCAGGTCCGTGGTGCCGTTTATTTTTAAATGGCCAGGATGTGTCATGGCAGCTCCTGCGTTGAGCGTCTTCCTCCTGGTGGTCAGTGAGAGTCATAGCTACTGGTGAGACGGACACTTAGCCTTTTATATATATAGAAGACTAGAGGCCCGGTGCATGAATTCATGCACATTGAAAGGAAATTAATTATAAGAAATATATTGTTATTCGCCCTTTCTCTATAATAGAAGTGTCAACCAAATTCACGATTGACAATGACAGATCGAAACACATGCGTGCGATTGGTGCCAGTGAGAGCTTTATATGTATTGCACATGCGCGAGTCAACTTAGCCTTTTATAGATATAGAATAAACTTGCTTAATTAGACCTGCTTCCTGATGTAGCTAACCTTTTTCCAGCCCAGTGAAGTACCCCAACTTCTCTTTCAAGTAATTGTCAGCAACACAGCAATAAATATCAACACGAAGCAGATTATTATTGTAGATCACACAGGGAGAACAAAGAGTAAAATATTTAACTGCAGCAGTGTTTGACTATATTCTGCGCAGTGAGAAAACCTGAAGTCACTTTTAAGGTCCAAAATTTCTTACTTCTTTTCAGTTGGGTCAAGTTTCTAAGCTTTCTAAATCTCCGTTTTCTGGCTAATGAAAAGAAAATAGGATTCCACCAAGTCTCCTATCTACCTACTCCAGGACTACTGTGAGGATCAAATGAGATGAAGCATGTGAAAATGCTTCACAGACATTTGGTTACAGTGTGAAATGTTTCCACTTGGCTATAAAGCAAGTTGTGTTCCTGGACTGAAGAAAGGAGGAACAAGGAGGCTAGTCGCCAGGGAGAGGAAGCCAGGTGAAGCCAGGCATTGCTACGTGACGTCATTACCCAGATGGTTGGACACTTAGTATATTGGCCTTTTATATATATAGATAGTTAAGTGAAAAAACCAATTAGTCTAAAGAATGAGGATCTAATTCTAAGTAGCTTAAATGGGGCTAATGTGGGGTTTTGGCTAAGATTATGGACAACCTAAATACTTTCTTAAAAGAACAAAACAATGTACTGAACAGTTATTATCCTATGCATATCCTATAATAACTGAAAAGCTTCAGAAATACTCTTAAAGAGATAATAAGAAATAAGTTAGATTTAGCACTGGACCAGTATCCATACACATTTTCACTTGGACTTCTCTTTCCTTGTTTATAAATTGACCTACAGGTGAACTTCGTTGGTATAGTTTCCTGTTTCCCTGGATCCTGGATAATTTAGTCTCCACACAGAGATACAATTTTAAAATCAACTTCTATGAGCTGATCCTCTGCTACTTATCTGATCTTACCTCCTATAACTCTCTCCCTCACTCACTCTGCAGCAGCTACACTGGCCTTCTTGCTGTTTTGTGAATAAGACAGGAATGTTCTAGCCCAGGGGTGGGCAAACTTTTTGACTCGAGGGCCACAATGGGTTCTTAAACTGGACCGGAGGGCCGGGACAAAAGCATGGATGGAGTGTTTGTGTGAACTAATATAAATTCAAAGTAAACATCATTACATAAAAGGGTACGGTCTTTTTTTTTTTTTTAGTTTTATTCATTTCAAACGGGCCGGATTCGGCCCGCGGGCCGTAGTTTGCCCACGGCTGTTCTAGCCTTAAGGCCTTTGCATTTGTTGTCCCCCATAGAGCCATCTAGTCTGCTCCCTTACCTTCTAAGGATGCCATTCTAAAGTTTTTTTAATAATATATTTTTATTGATTTCAGAGAGGAAGGAAGAGGGAGAGAGAGACAGAACATCAATGATGAGAGAATCATTGATCAGTTGCCTCCTGCACACCCTCAATTGGGAAACAAGCCAGCAACCTGGGCACGTGCCCTTGATGGGAATTGAACCTGGGACCCTTCAGTCCACAGGGTGACGCTCTATCCACTGAGCCAAACCAGCGAGGGCAAGATGCCATTCTTAGAAAGGCTTTCCCTGAGCAACCTATAGAAAACACAGCAACTCCTCTCCCACAGCAGTCTCTGCCCTTTTTACTTAGTTTTATTTTTCCCTATGTGACTTATTGTCATATGATACACTATATTTTACTTGATTTGTTTTCTATCTTTACATTGTTCACTGCTGTATTGCCAGTACTGTAGTTAGGACAATGCTTGGCACTGTCGAATATTTGTAGAATAAATGATTATATCTCATCAAGTATATGGAAAGTCATGGCAATCAGTACCTGATTAAGAGCTGACAATAATCCAGAAATGCTCTGATGTATCTATTAAACTATAACTCAGCTTATGATTATAACATAACCTACGATAATATTTAAGCTTCTAATATTTTTAATTTTTAAAAAATTAATAGATGTCCAACTAAAACAAAAGTATATAAAACACTTGATTCAGATGACTGGTTAGGGTAAGCCCTAGCTAATCATTACACAAATTGTGGCAATTTACAAAAGTTCCAGATTTGGTGTAGTAACCAAGACTATAAACTGCCCCTCCATTACTAAATTATTTGCCATAGTAAACTCTGATTAAGTAACTCCGTAATTTACTTCTGAGTTTCTTGCAACAAGACCCGAATGGACAATGATTTAGTTGCCAGCTGGTATTAAAAGAACTAACTCTCAAGAAAATTATGCCAGCATCCCAATAACCAAAGCAAAAGTTGCGTTTTTACATATTCAAATCCAATTCTCCAAATTGCCCTCTGGAAACATTTTCTCTCCCAATAGGTTTGCCCTAGAAGGGAGAAGAAGGAATGGAGAAAAGAAGTATAAGAAAAGCAAAGAAAATGAAATAACTTTAAAAGGCTCAAGTTCTCTAAACCCCAAGTAATGACTTCAAGCATATTAGTTTTTGATTAATCAAATTCAAAGCATATGAAAACTGTATTTTCTGTGCCCCAAACGCACCTTATACAAAAAGCCCATGTTAAAAAAAAATAAGTATGAGCACACTGCGTAGTGAAGAGCAACTGGACTTGCTCTCACTGGCATCTAAGCACTGCCAGCTGTGGCTCCATGTTCATTACACGAAAACTCTACATCCTGGGGTGTCAGGGGAGAACAAACGCTTCAGCCATGCGCCAGCTGAAATCTGTTGTTTCCTTGTTAAAACCAAATACACGTGATTTAGGTTTACCTACTCCCAACTGCACCAACATTCAAGGAGAGAAATATGTTAGTGGAAAAAATTAATTCAATTAAAAAATTTTATTATTTTTTTTTCTTACATCATTGACATCTGCCAATGTTTATCACCTCTTAAGCATTAACAGGTGATAAAATAGACATCACATGCCATTCATCACTGTATTATTTCATTTAATCATTACAGACCAGTAAGAGGTATGTATCATCTTCTATAGTACAGACTAAGGTTTAAAAAGGTGCTATAACCTGGGCAAGATCACAAAGTTAAATGGTAGAGTCTAGCTTTAATCTTAAACCCTCGATTCCAAAGTCTGCCCACTTAACCACTACACTACATTCTTTTCAAAGAACAATACATTAAAATATTAATAGAACTAGGTTTTTTTTGGATGTGTGCTCTTGACTGATTATGTAATGTAAGCATCCTTTTTTCTGTTTTTAACTAACACAATTATTGTTGGTTTTTTTGATGCACCATGGTCTCCATGAGCACAACCATCCAAGTGGAGACGACAACCCGGACCTGAATCTCAACCCGGACCTGAATCTCTAAGAGCCCTCAGGCAGTTTCCCGCCGTCCTTACACCAGGGAAACAATTACAGCCTTTCAAAATCTAACTGAACCACACGCATGTGTTTATGAGCGACCTCTTGGGTGTGGATAGAGATCTCTTTCCCTGCAGCTGAAAAGAAGGCAAATCCACAATGACCGGTAGGGGAGGAAGATCCCGTAGATCCATCAGACCTTTCAGTCACTGCTTTGTTCCTTTCCCTTAGTAATCTGCCCAGAGTCCTTTTCAGGTGCAGCTTGAGGGCCAAAACGAGGACTGGGACTAGGCAGCGGTTCTCAACCTGTGGGTCGCGACCCCTTTGGCGGTCGACCAACCCTTTCACAGGGGTCGCCTAAGACCATCCTGCATATCAGATATTTACATGACGGCTCATAACAGTAGCAACATTACAGTTATGAAGTAGCAACGAAAATAATTTTATGGTTGGGTCACAACATGAGGAACTGCATTTAAAGGGCCAGAAGGTTGAGAACCACTGCACTAGAGGGTCGCTGTCACCGTCCCTAAGAGGCGGCCCCACAGACACAGGTGTGCTTCCCTCCCTGCTCCGTGGTGCTAAGGACCAAACCCAGAGAAGTCGTTAGAGACGTGGGGCCCCCCAAGGCCTCCAACCAGCCAACGACTAAAGGCGCTGGGGCGGGGAGGGGGAGGGAGCAGGAGCTTTTCAGAAGTCGCCAGGCCACACTCCCGTGTGCTACCCTCCTTCGCTCCGTGGGAAGGCTTCCCGTCCCCTTCCCTCGAGACCCAAAGACCAAGGAAGCCAAACCTCGGCCCCCACCTGGGCGCGGCCTCGGCGGCCGGGCCCACGGTACTCACCGTCGTTCTCATCCCGGTGCCGCCGCCGCGACATGCCGCAAGTCCCCGCGCTGCCGAGCCGAGCAGGCGGGAAGCACCGAAGGAACCGTCGGAACGCCGGCCGGCGCGAGGACAGCGGCGAGGCGCGCGGAGGGGCCGGCGCGCAGGCGCACTCGCTCGCTCGGGCTCCCGGAAGCGCAAGGCGGGGCTGCCGGCTGGACGCGGCGGTGTCTAGGGGCTCCCCAGGCCGCGGGCTTCAGGTCCGCACGGAACCGTCCCCTCGCGCTTCCTCTAGCGGCTCCCCTCTCCCGCCATTCGCTCTAAGTCCTTCCGGGGCCAGGAGATAGCGACACCTCTTCAGCCAGCCACAGCCTGGGGCTTCGAGCCACGCTAGGAGGCGGGCGGTCCGGGAGGGACGCTGTAGCCCCCACCTCAATTTCAGACCCTCTCTCGGCGCGGGGGCGGGCTCTCTGGTTTCCCGGCGTCCCTTCCGCTAAAAGTCCCGAAGACTTCCGGTGCGGGTGGACGTCGCCGGCGGCCCTTGCTACGTAAACTCCGGGCGGGGCCTGCGGGAGCCTGGGTGTTGAGCCGTGTTAATTTTTAGGCGGTGACTGTTCAATGAAGAAAGACCTGCGAAAGGATCAGGACAGGCAGGTACGTGCCCACAGAACTGCCACTTCCGGGCCTTTGCCTCCTCGGGAACGCCGGACGGAGAGATGGGGCCTTGCCCGGCGCGCCATCTTGATAAATGGCACCATTCATCCGATTGCTTAATCCAAAAACGTTGGCAGGAGTCGTTCCTGGGTCCTCCTTTTCCTTTACTTCCTACATAACAATGCATCTGTAGACCCTGTCGGCTCTACTTTCAAAACAAATCTAGACTCAGACCGCCTCACTCCCTTGTTTACAGCTCGCCTGTGACTTGCCTCTGCTAACTCCGTATCATTACTTCCTCTCTCATCTCTGTGCTCCAGCCACTCGGACTTTCTTCCCGAACCTCCCATAAGCCAAGCTTGTTCCCACTTTAGGAAGTGATTCTCACTCTTTCCTTTGCCTGCAGATCCCTGCTGCTAACTCTGCATGGATGGCTGCTTGTCACTTTAGGTTTCAGCGCAAGCATCAGGTCCTTGGGGAAGCCTTCTCTGGCCACCCAGTCACTTTTATTTCACGTGTTGTATTTGCTGATATTCAGCGCCTCCTGTGTGCCAGGCAGTGTTCCAGATGCTGAGGATGCAGAGGTGAACAAAGGAAAACCCCTGCTTTCTTGGTGTTGGTGACCCACCGGGAATGGACAAACAATGCAATCAGAGGCAGCGAGAGCCAGCGGGCAGTAGTAAAAGGAGAGGAGAGACGTGGTGGGAAGGGCGTTGCAAGGACTTTGGAGTTTATCTGAGCAAGTTGAGAAGCCTTTGGAGACTGGTCTGACTAGTTTTTTAATACTTGCCTTTCTGGCTCTTACATGAGGAGGCCAGTTAGTCTCCTTCAATAATTCAAGAAATGACGGTGGCTTGAATGGGGTTGGTAGTGAAAGTGGTGTAAAGTGATCTGATCTGATTGTATTTCAGAAACAAAGTTGGGAGGATTTTCGGAGGGGCTTCGAGATAGTGTGAAAGAATAAGGAGTCAAGAAGAAGCCCAAAGATTTTTTTTCTCTGAATAACAGAAAGACTAGAAATGTCGTTTATGCAAGCAAGGAAGACTGAGGGGAAACAAGCGTTTGGTTTTGAACAACCTGTTAGCCTTCCCGCTGAAGCTATCCAGTAGACAGTTGGATGTGTGGATTTGGAGTTCAGGAGAGAGGCCCAGCCTGGGGATATAAATTTGGAGTCAGTTAGTGTATAGTATTCTAAACATAAATTTCCCTTTATTTATGATTGCTTACCTTTTTCAAATATTTACACAATATTTGAGAAAATTAAGAACCCCCATGTATTTTAACAATCAGCTTCAGCAATTCCCAACTAATGACCAATCTAGTTTCGCATGTATTATCACAGTTATTCTCAGGAAATTTAGTTTTTAAATTCTTGGGACTAGATGAGATCACCTAGAGGGCGAGTATAGATAAAGTTCAGGATGGTGGGTAAGGAGAATCCCCAGCAAATGAAATTGAGAAGCAGCAGCTCTTATCACTGACAGTTTCATGTTTTTAAATGTAGTTACTTATTTAGCGTCTCTCTTCTCTTATTAGAATATAAGCTTCAAAAGAGCAGGGATAGTAACTGTTTTCATTAAGACCGGCATCCGCAACGCTATTCTATGTGCTGGGCATAGAATAGTTAAGAATGTCTAAAGGCGAAAGCTGAAAAGGATTTAGAGTGAGGGGAGGTCATTTTGGGATGGTGGGTAAGGTATGTGTGGAGACTGGAAGGCAGGGAAGGGCATGAGTATTTGTGGAACTAAGCAAAGCCCATTGTAGCCAGAGCAGGTTATATGAGGGAGAGTGTTGTTTGAGATGAGCCTAGATTGGTAGGGGAATTAAGATTACATATTCCTTTCCAGTCCTCAGTACATCCCTGCAAGGTAGATGCTGTCATCACATTTTAGAAATTAGGGAATTAGAACTCAGAGAAGTTTAATATCTTGCCCAGGTTCACATACTTGCACTCCGCTACACCATGATCCAAAGCCAATGGCTTTCCCAGTGTTTCATGTTGCCTCTTTGTTACCTGTAACATTTGCTTTATAAAAGAAAGAATGCAGTATGTTGGTTGTAGTGTGTCCATTTTGACAAGATTTGGCCACAGTAGCAATTTGTATATTTCTTCTGGCTCACTAAAATAGTTTTCTCTTGGTAGTTATTTCTTCTAAGAAAGGGAATGTGCATAGCTTAAACATATAGGGGACAAGAAAAGAACAAAGTGTTTATAACTGAAGTTATTAGCACACAGCTTGGTTGTACCTTTGCATTTTTGGCATCAACTTACCGTAAGTTTGCATGGCTTGCCCTTTAATTCAGGTTTTTGCTCAAATGCTACTGCCTCAGACTTTACCTACCCTCTGTATTTTAAAGATCCCCTCCATCACCCTGGCTCCTTACTCTGTTTATTTGTCTTCATAGCCTCTTTTACCATCTGACTTTTAAAAAAATAAAATTATTTGCTTACCTTCTGTGTCTCCCCATTGAAATGCAAACTCTAAGAAAGTAGAGACTTTTTCTTTTGCATTCGCTGCTATGTCCCCAGTATCTAGAACAATGCCTGCTAAATAAATACTATTTATTGAATGAATGAGTGAATGAATGGATAGCTTGGGCTACGAGGCCCATGCTCATTGGCATGATTGATTAACTACAAGTTTACTTCAAGTAGGAATCAAAGACTTGGACAATGTTGTTTCTCCCTTGCTCACTTCCTAGGAGATAGTTAACTGAAAGGAATCTGCCCCACTGCTACAACCAAAGCAGATGCCTTCTTCGACTTCACCAGACCAAGGAGATGACCTGGAGACCTGTCTTTTAAGATTTTCAGACTTGGATTTGAAAGACACAAGTATTATCAATCCCAGTAGCAGTCTTAAAGCGGAGCTAGATGTCAATACAAAGAAGAAATATTCATTTGCAAAGAAAAAGGTAAAATTGCTAAAATCGCTGTTGATGTTTCAGGATCATGTGTGTATAGTTAATGCAGGTAGATCTGGAAGTAGCTCATGAAGGTTGTCCTCCAGGGAGTGGAGGGATAGTGAGACAGTAGGCTGTTGCCATGCTCAGAGTAAGGTCTGGTCAGCACCATTACCAGTGACCTTTAATTCAGTGCCAGGCAAAGGAGAATCATAGGCAAGGTGTGGCTCTGGAACACGTGTGTGGGGTATAGATCCTAGACAGATGGCTGGATTCCTTTCTCCACCCAGGGTTATGGGAGGAAACTCAGGAGACAGTCATAGGAGATAGACAGCAGTAGGCAGCTGCTATCTTGAGAACTCTGATCTGATCCAGCTGATGTAAAGCTTACTAATGAAACTGTTACTCTTCCACGTTCTTCTACCGAATAGTAGGATGCAAACTGGAAACCCCTGTGGAAGATAATAGAAGAAATTTCACTGAGGCTTCCATTAGCCTCAAACCTAAGGTTATTTCACATTGACAATTTGAAATGTAATTGCAGGCATTTGCCCTTTTTGTCAAAACCAAAGAAGTTCCAGCACCGTCTTATAAAGGCAAAGAAATATGGTGGAAATGCTGTCAGCAACTGTTCACGGGCCCCACCAGCATCCACAGACACGTGGCGGCACAGCACGCTGATGAGGTTTGGCACCAGACTGCTTCTGTTTTGAAGCAGCTCGCTGTGGCATCGAGCACCTCAAAGAGCCCTAAGTCTGCCGACAAAAGGAACCCACCGAAAGAGTGCCTTACTCAAAACCATGACGTGTCTGCTTGGCTCCCTGACATTAGTTGCTTTAGCCCTGATGAGCTGATAAGGTAAGAATTTCATTCTGTACTTTTGGTTTAATTTAAAAAATGTTTTTTCAGCCACAGTGAGATACCATTAAAATGGCAAGATCTTAAAGGCACAGAATTTCTCTACAGGCCTAAGCAAGGGTGACAAACATGTACTGTGTGTAATAGAAGAGTATAGTCAATGCAGTAGCATGTACCCACACAGCTGGTAATGTTGCCAGGTTTCTTGAAAGCCATTCTGCATCTTATCTTTAGGGAGAAGTAAAGAACAGAAAATTATATTATTTTCAAAGAGAATAGGAAGACCCAGAAACGTTAATGATTCCTCTTCCCTGAATAATAAAAAGCATTTTTGTTACCAAATGTGGCTTTCTGAGCTGAATATGCTTTAGAAAGGATGTTAACTTTTAGAACTGAGGCATAGGATTAAGAGGTTTAGACTCTGCCTTTGAAAAACTTACCAAATTACACTACAGAATTCTAGAGGACGGATTTCTGGTTTTAAGCAATTCCTGAATTTGGTGAATAGAAAATATTCAAATCTGATATTATTTTATCACTAGTATTTAGTGCCAAATTCACCTTGTTTATCAGAAAGAAAAGGAGAAAGGAAGAGAATTGAATTTGGAGTCAGACTTGAGCAAGTTGCTAAAATTTGTTGTGCCTTCATTTCCTCGCTTTTAAAATTGGAATAGTGTCTGCCCTGCCTACCATACAGTATTGCTGTATGAGCTCTATAAAATAAATGATGGTGGTACAAGCACTTGTGAACTATAAAGTGCTATATAAATGTGGCTTTCTCGTTTAGATATGGCCCCGCACTTCAAGGAATTTGCTTTCTAGTTAGAAAAACAAAGAAAGGGGCATGAAACAATTAGCAGATGATATGAGACAGGCTATATAATTATTAGTTAAATTGTACCTGTATGGTTCAGATCAGTTGTTATAGGAGTTCAGAGAAAGGAAAATAGATAGGCTCTGAACTAGAGAAAAGGCTTTGGAGGAAGCTGAAATATGATGAGGGTATTGAAGAGAGATTTAGACTCCAGAGCTGGACGGGACCTTAATTGTCATCCACTATAGCATTCTTTAAAATACATCTGTGCAACATTATTGTGGAGGATGCTATCAGGTATTGAAAAGAGATACTAAAGACAAATACGTTGGGGAAACACTAGTTTAAAATGTTTTTTATTACAGGATTTCTCAAAGCACACTTTTGGGAAATGCAGCTTATTTCATTTCTCCAGTTTTACAGATGAGGAAATCAAGGCTCAGAAATGATAAGTGACCTGCCCGGATCCCACAAGTTAGTATAAGACAGCACAGTGCAATAGAAAGGGTATGGGTTCTAGTGTCAGAAATCTGGTGTTTTGAGTCCTGATTGTCACTTGTAGTTGTCTCACCTGGAAGGAATTGACTTCAGTTTACTTAGCTATAAAGTACAGATATGGTCTTCTTTAGAGCAAATACAGACAGACAGGAGTTGCTTCTCATTTTAGGAGAACAATAGTGGGTACAAAGGCAGGCATGAATTGCTCCACCTAGGCCTTCCCTGCGACGCTGCCTGATTATACTTTGTAAACTTAGGCCAGTGATTCAGATGCCCCTTCTCTGTGGTTTTCTTTTTACAGTGGTGAGGGCAGTGATGAAGGAGAGGTGTTACTTTATTACTGCTATCGTGACTTGGAGGATCCCCATTGGATCTGTGCCTGGCAGACAGCTCTGTGTCAGCACCTGCACCTCACAGGCAAGGTAACACCTTCTTCCATACCCATCCTTCACTAGGCTGCTCTGGCCTCCAACTTGGATTGCAGAGGCTGTGCTCTTTATTTTTATTTTTTTTATTGACTTCAGAGAGGAAGGGAGAGAGAGAGAGAGAGAGAGAGAGAGAGAGAGAGAGAGAGAGAGAGAGAGAGAGAAACATGAGTGATGAGAATCATTGATTGGCTACCTCCTGCACGTCTCCTACTGCGTATCGAGCCCGCAACCCAAGCATGTGTCCTTGACCAAAATTGAACCCAGGATCTTTTAGTCCACAGGCTGATGCTCTATCCACTGAGCCAAACCAGCTAGGGCCAGGCTGTGCTCTTTACAAAAAGATTTGCTGTTAAGTTGTTAGAAATTAGCAAAGTCCTGTGAGGCATTTAAGTAGAATACTAAGTAGCTATTAACATGGTGTTTTATAAGAATATAGAATGGCATAGACCAGGGGTCAGCAAACTTTTTCTTAAAGAGCCAGATAGTTAATATTTTGGGATTTGCACAAAGAAACTACTCAACCCTGCCGTTGTAACATGAAAACAACTCTAGATAAATAGGTAAATGGATGGGTATGCCTATGTTCTTTCAAAACTACATGCAAAAGCAGGCATAATTTTCCTTGGCATAGGGAAACGTTCTTGATATAGTACCTAGAAAAACATTCTATAAAACTATGCATAGAGGTGTGATTCCAAGTTTCTTCTTAATTTTCCTAGAACATGCCAGGGCCTTTACCATTTCATGGTACTGACAATTTGCTATTTTCTTTCCCTCTAGAATGCTTTTTCCCTAGATCTTCACATGGCTCACTCCTCACTTCAAATCTCTGCTCAGATGTTATCTCCTCAGAACTCTAATCTGAAGAGGTCCTTTTTGTAAGCCTCATCACTTTCTATCCCTTCTAGTCAAAGAATTTACCACTGTATGAAAGTATAGTCTTTGTTTAATTTGTTATATCTGTCCCTTATAGAATGTAAACTTCATGAAGACAGGAACTTTGTCGTAATTGATGTACTGTCAGTGCACAGGGCTTAGCACACAGCAGACAGTGTATGTTCAGAGAATGTTGAATAAAGGATTGAATGTGTGTAACAAAACCACAGGTGTTTGTGTGTATAAAGATGGAGAGTAGTAGACATCAAAGTGTTGATTATGACTCTCTACCAGAGTATTATGGGTGGTTTTTCCTTTTTAAAAATATCCTTGATGATGACATATCTATACATGTATGTATATATATATATATGTTATATATTTTTTAAAAATTTAAATAAAAAGTGAATTAGGTTCCCTCTGGGATCCCCTCTGGTTATGACACTGTACTGTCTGTCTAATCTTTTCCACACATGTCCCAGGTTTTAATTCCCTTTGGCAATCATTTGATCAGTCAGTGACATTTTCCACATCCATGTTTTCTAACAGATAGTGGACTGAAAGCTTCATTGACCTCATTCAGTTCATCACCCAGTCCTGCCGTTTCTACCTCTAAAATGTCCCTTGACTCCATTCACTCTGTCCTCCACTTCCACCACTTTAGACCAAGCTCCACCCTCTCTTACCTGGTCCATTTCAATAGCTTGCAAACTATTCTCCATTCTTCTATCCCTGCCTGTCATTTAAGCTAGTCTTACACAGCAGCCAGAATGATCTTCAAAGGTAAATAAAATCATATTAGCCTCCTCAAAATCTTTCAGTGGCTATCCAGTGCATTTAGTGTAAAACCCAAATTGTTAACATGCCCTTAGGTTCCTGCATGATTTGGACCCTTCTTACCTTCTTTCCGCTTATCTGGTACTATTTTTCTTTCAGTTTCTTGGAGCCCACAAAATCTTTTTGTGTTTTGGGGCCTTTTTATAAGAAAAGTCTTTAAGGAACTCTCCCATACTCGGTTTCTCCTGTGTAATTTCCCCCTCAATCTTCACTTCTCAAAGAGATCTTTCTTGACCTTCAATCAATTTCATTTTTCCAAATATACTCTCTTATAGCATCTTTTTTTTAAATCTCTTATAGTATCTTGCAGTTATTTTTATAGCGCTTGTCAATTTGTAACTTTTATCTTCATATCTGTGACCTCCCTTAGTCTATAAGCTCCAAGAGCGCAAGAACTGTATTTTTTTCCAACCACTATATCCCTAATTCTTAGTACAGTTCCTTGTGCATAGTAAAAAACTTAGTAAACATTTATGGACTGAATACATTTGTCACCATCTCTATTTAGAGATCATCTTAAAAGATGGGTAGTCTCACAGTAACACTGAATGTACAAAATATGAAATCAATCTCTTTCCTTGGTTTAGGGGCAGATTTTTATTCTTGGCCCAGCCTGAGATGAACTAGCAGTGAGGGTCCCTAACCACAAGGTGGCAGTACCTGCCTAGATTGTCGGTCTAAATTCTAAGGTTTCCATGATACATGATGTCCAGTTTACTGAGATAGTTTTCTGCTGGTAGGAGACTTGTCAGAATATTGGCATTTAGGTAGGAAAGAGGAGAACTTGAAAATTCTGGAATTATGGAAGGAAGCTTCTTGTCCCTATTGCTATACATTCATTATTCCCGAAAGATACATAAGGGAATGCATTGGAGACTTGGGAAAGGAAAAATTACGAGATTTAGAGCCAATAAGATCTGGCTAATCCTTCCCACATATGTCCCAGGTTTTAATTCCCTTTGGCAATCATTTGATCAGTCAGTGACATTTTCCACACCCATGTTTTCTAACAGATAGTGGACTGAAAGCTTCATTTACCTCTTTCTGGTTTTGAATCCCAGATCTACACCTACCAACCTGTGCTCTTGGACAAATTACTTGACTTTTCTGAGCTTCTATTTCCTTTTCTGTTGAGTGGGGATTATGACATCTGCCTTTCAGGAATTTATTATAAAGCTCCTGTCTCATAGTAGGTACTCAGTAAATGCTAACTGTTGCTCTTTATCTCTGAGGTTTAAGGCCTTTCTCACCAAGGAGCTACTTTGAAGGTTTCTGTTAAAGAATCCTAGTGATTGAAAGTCTAGCGGATGAGTTTAGAGATTGTTCTGCCCCAACTGTATAGGGAGTAGATGTGCTTGTTTTTATTTGGGTTCTGAGATTTAAAATAACAGGAAAGAATATACTAATCTACCCAAAAGACAGTTATGTAGAAGTATGTACCTCTTCATCATACTGTCACAGTAATAACAGCTTTAGGGTAGAGTTCCTGACTCATACTGGTTTAGTTCTTTTTCTGTGTAATCCCTTAAAAATATACAAGTTGAATCACCTAATCAAAAAACTCTCTCCAAATATGGTTTAGAGAGAAGTTTCAGGTTTAGTGGGAGAGTAGATAGTTAATATTACTCATAGTAAAAATAAATAATGTTTACACTTTAAACATTGATCCATCAATACTGTTAGACATACACAGCAATGGTCATTCATTTTTAATGATCTCTACCCTTTTATAAGTTTATTAAAATAACAAGTAATAAAAATGTGTTATTGTATTACTATTATTAATACAATAGTAATAGTTATCTCAATTTTAAATAAAGCCTAATTAATAAATAATTTTGTTAAATTGGAAAAAAAAGTATATATATATATATATATATATATATATATATATATATATATATGCTGGTAATCGGTATAATAGTCTGTGCAGATGGCGTGTACTTCCAACTCTCTTCTCCCCACCGAGAAAGGCTTCACTAGGCTCCAGTACTCTCTCAAGGACTGGATGTGACTCAGAATGCTCATCATGGAACTCTGCACAGCCCCTACTAGTGAGCTGGCATGGGCTTGTGAAATGAATCCCATTTATATCCATGCCCTGAAAGAATTGGATCAAGTGTCTAAGCCAATGAAGTATCATCTCTGGGCCCTGAAAAAGGGGAGCCTTTTAAAATTTTTAAATTCTAAGTAATGCATTGGGAGGTACCATTGTTATACAGGTAGTAGTAACACTGTAGGACCTTAAATTACCTCTCCAGAGAATACCATGATATAAGTGTTGCACTTTCTCTCTAGCACTTTTCTCTAGAGAGCTCAGCACCCTCTAAATATGATCCATCTTTAAACTCATCCAAGGATTTTGTCGCACCAAAACAGCTAACTTTAGTGTCCCCAGAGCATTGCCTCTTAAGGCAGGGGTCTTAATCCAAGCTCTAATGTCTGGTAACCAGTGAAGCACTTCAAAGAGTACAGATTTGAGAAGCCAGAAAACCTCAGATGTGCGTACACATTCATTTGTCCAACAGATACATAGTGAATGCCTACTATGAGGCAGGTGTTCTAGGCACTGGTTATGCAACAGTGAACAAAACAGACACACACTCCTGCAACTTTGTGTTCCAGTGGGTGGGTGCGTTTGCAATGGTGGGCTTTCCCCAAACACCATGCAGAGATGCATTCACTCCCATTCCCAGTCCTCAGGTGTGCTCTGTGCTTTAGAACTTGGGGAATCTCTCCAGTAGTGGTTTTCATTGTTTATTCTCTTTTTTCCCTGTTTTAACAAGATGAAGAAACTGAGGTTCAGAGAAGTAAAATAATTTTCTCAGGGCACTTTGCAAGGAAGCGGCAAAACTGAATCTTGATTCTAGATCTGCTGACCTGGATTAAACTCAAAACGTGGTTCTCTGGCCATTGGACAACTGGAGCTCCATAGCAAATGGGGCTTTTCAGTAGTTTCACTAATTTCATGCTCTTATTCAGCACACATTAACCAAGTACCTTATCTGAACTTAGGAAGTGCCATTTTAGAAAACACAGGTATCTTTGTGGTAACACTTTGGTGTCCACAGCGGTGTCTGCGTTTCCTCTTCAATTCACTGATACACTTGAGCCTGTTCTGCCCTGGGAAGATTTAAACTGCATTCCCTTTCTCTCACCATCTGTGTCTCAGGTGAGAATTGCTACAGAAGGAATCAACGGGACAGTGGGTGGAAGCAAATTGGCCACCAGACTCTATGTGGAAGTCATGCTTTCCTGCCCATTGTTTAAGGATTATCTGTGTGAGGATGATTTTAAGGTAAGAGACATTGAAAAGGAAATGGCTCTAGAGCCGTGCCTCGGTGCCTCTTCCTGCTGAAGGTATGAAGAGAGGGCAATATGAGAAATAAGCAGTGCCAGACAGCTACCCTTCCCCGTTGCCAGGTGACAAGGCAGTGTGTGGGAAGGACTTGCTGGTTCCACTTCTTCCACTGAGTCGCCATGTGGTCTTGGACAAGTTAGTGCCCTCTCTGGACCTCAGTCTCCCTTCCTAAAGAATAAGGTTGACACAATCTAAATTCTGAAACTTAGACATGTTTGCTTACTTGGGAGACTGCCTGGCTATTTCGGTAAACCTGGAATGATCAGATCAGCACTTCACACAGGGAACAAGGTTGCTCTTACAGCTCAGTTGCTTTATCATAATAGGTGATAAAGGTGGTGGGAAATACCTTGGTAGTGTTAATGCTGGTGGTGATAGGTAAAGAGAAGTCATTGCTCCAGGACAAAAGCTGGGATGTAATCTTACATGTTGAAATTGCTCAGTGGTGTTTCAATTTTAAATGCTTATTGCTATAGAAACACCTTTTCAGTGTAACATTTCTGAACATTGTAGATATGCGGTAAATAAGTACCAAATATAAGAATTCTTTTATAATAATACCATAGCTGTAGTATTAAGAAGTCTCAAATTAGAAAACCTGTTTTAATGGGAAATGGGAATTACGGCCTTGACTGTTCCAGAAAATTCAACATTATTATCTGCTTTGTTTCTCATTGGCTAGACCAGCAAAGGAGGAGCTTGCTGTTTCCCAGAGTTGCGTGTTGGTGTATTTGAAGAAATTGTGCCTATGGGGATCAGTCCCAATAAGATCTCCTACAAGAAGCCTGGTATGCTTGCTTTTAGAAGGACAAAACAATAGAGAGACAGATGTGAAGGTTAGACACATCAGTCAGCTAGAGTTGTGATGAATCCTTTCATAAATAGCTGTGGGGTGGCTAACATTTGGGTCATTTAATGCTTAAATTGGTCTTCTTTTTGGAGACTCCCCCTCAGAAGGACCTTACTTGTTCTTGATGACGGTTTGGCAAGAAGTCGTTTTCTCTTTAAAGATAGCAGTTTTGGAAGAGTGCAATTCTTACTTGTAAATAGTTTATCAACTAATTTTTTGGTTTGATTTTAGGAATCCATTTGTCCCCAGGTGAATTTCATAAAGAAGTAGAAAAGTTTTTGTCTCAGGCAAATCAAGAACAAAGTGATACTATCCTCCTGGACTGCAGAAACTTCTATGAAAGCAAAATAGTAAGAACCAGAATTGAGTCCCCACGGTATGGCATGTCCCCCAAGGAAACATGTGTGTGCCATCAGAGGTCAAGTCACATGGATCTCTTCCCACTGCTAGCAGCCTCAGAGGAAAACCCGAGCCTTTCAACTCAGGATCTGATGAGAAAGCCTAAGAAAATATGAATAACAGACATATTGGCAAATAATGTGCGTCCTGGATCCCAGGTGCCTACCCTTGACACATGTCAAGGATCTTGTAAACTTCACTTTGGGCAGCCTCTCCAGTTCCCCTGAAGACTGGGAAGGTGACTCACAGCTCGCCAGCCATGTCCCTTAAGTTCCAGATCTTGAAGTTGAAAGGTTCAGAGTGTGGGATGAGAACAGCAACTAGCTGGTGTTTCCTTGCCAAGGAAGGGGGTGGGGGAGGGGAGGGTGTGTGGGACAGAAAAAAGCATACCAGGTATACTTTTTAAAATCATTTTCCTTCTATCCCACATTGTAGGGACGCTTCCAGGGCTGCTTAGCCCCAGACATCAGGAAATTCAGTTACTTCCCTAGCTACGTTGACAGAAATCTAGACCTTTTCAGAGAGAAGAGGGTACTGATGTATTGCACTGGGGGCATCCGTTGTGAGCGGGGTTCCGCTTACCTCAAAGCCAAGGTGAGTCACCCTCGTTGGGGCACCACAGGCCTGGCTGTGAAGAAGCATCGTCCACAGCATGTGTGAAGCCCCCCTCCCCCCCTTCATTCCCTCTCCCATCCTGGCCATCAAGCTTAGAGTTTATAAGTACAAAATATGAAGTTCTTAAATCTTAAGATGTGAAAAACACTCAGCAGTCTTAGAAACTCATCAGGTACAAATGGGAAAGATTAGTTAACGTTTCCCTTTGCCTAATACTTTTGCTTGATCCTGAGAAGAGCAAATTCAGTAACATTACATGTCCCAACAGGTGTCTTTCTATATTTAGGGGGTGGCAAAAATAGTTGAGCTTCCAGGATCTAGAGAGTGAAGGCCCTGACTGCTATCATCACCCATCTTCCCTCCCCCGGCCCCCTTCCCGTAAGCAAGATCTGGCCAGCTGCTTCCTTGCGCCCTTGGTCAGCAGTTTCTCAGTGTCCTGCAGTGGGAGCCAGGAGCCACCCTTGGGCATCCTCACCACGTGCCACTCCGCTGTGGAGCTTCTTCCTGGCCTCTGCTTGTCTCCTGAACCTCCTGCTGTTTTTCCACACACAGGGAGTGTGCAAGGAAGTGTTCCAGCTCAAGGGTGGCATCCACAAGTACCTGGAGGAGTTTCCTGACGGTTTTTACAAAGGGAAATTGTTTGTTTTCGATGAGCGTTATGCTTTGTCCTACAACAGTGACATAGTGTCAGGTAGGTCAGCACAAGCCTAGAACCTAAACTCACGATCAGGCACTCTCTGTGTGAACCATGCTGGAAGGCAGGCCAGCACTGATTCTGTGAAGAATAAAACAGGGAGGAGTGCCTGGCACCACCACTGCCCAACAGAGTTGGAGATGTAGCGGTACAGCAGAGTCAGGAGGCCTATGTGGGGATCCTGGCTTCACCATTTACTCGTTAGACAAGTCCTAAAAATGGAGATAATGTCCCTTGCTCTCTCTGCCTGCTCGGCGATGAACTAATAGGCTAAATCAGGGTTCTTCACCTGGGGTCAATATGTCGAATTCAGGAATTCTGTGAATTTGGATAGGAATTAGTAATTTATTTTCATAACCTCTCACTAAATGTAACACTACCATCAATTATGAATACAAGCAACAAATCAGTATTAGACGTACCTGTGACATCAGTAGAAATCAGTATTTTCATAGATTACAGTTGCTACCTATATCTCAAAATCATATTTGTTCATCATTGCTTCACAATGGAAATAGCTATTAGGCCCACCACTAATTCTTATTATTTAATCTGCTAATATCTTATTATATTCCAGATTTTAAAAAATATTTTAATATTTTGTATTTCTATATAATTGGTTTCCTTTGTAATCCTATGTAGTTTATTTTATGCATTTAAAAATATATATTTCTAAGAGTTCATAGTCTTCACTAGACTGACAAGTAAATCCATGGCACACAGAAAAAGATTCCCCTAGTTTAGATGGTCTGTGGACACATGTGGTCTTGCACTTTTGCATGGTGGGTGGGGCATTCCAAGGTGGGAGCTGAACCTAGGGCCAAGGCCAGAGGCAGGGGTGACCACAGGAAGCGGTGGTGACAGGAAATGTGTGGTTTGACGAGTTTTGAGTCCACACTAAAATGTGGTACCAGATGAAGGCAGTCCGTGAAGAATGGAAATAGTCCTTTAGGAAAAGGGCTCTTGATGCCACGGTCTTGAGCAGGAAAGGTCACGGGCAGACATCCCTAGTGGCTTTGCAGTTTTCTAGAGTGGGGATCAGAGACTGAGATTGCATGACTACTCGGATAATAAATAAGGTATGAGTTGGATTGTTCTCTTTCCTTCTTAATCTTTAATTGTTTTGGATAGTCTTGTATTTGTGTCTGTTATTGAAAGTTATTGCACATCTGTTTTGGAGTTAGGTGGAGCATAAAGGGAAGAGAGAAGGCCTAAAGGTAACTTAGATAAGCTAGGTAAAGAGACTTGAAGAAGGATGGTACCAATGGTAACAGAAGTCAGCAAAAAAAAACCCCGCTGAGATAGTAGATAAGTATGAGTTTTAGGAATCCCAGTGGCAAGTGTCTGTTAGCAACAAACAGCAGGAGAACCTCAGGCCTGGGGAAGAGGTATGCAGAGCTGAGTTGAGATGTGGGATCATATGCATTCAGGTATGTTGTCTCCCAATGAAAAAGGGAGTGATCTAAAGGAAAAAGACCGTTGAGCAAGAGGGTGGTTGGCTAGCTTTGAAATAGTTAATGAAAGAGAGAAGCATTCCTACTAGTATTTGTTTTTAAATGGGAAAAGGAAAAGTGGATCCGTGAATGCTGGAATCAGAAAGACAATTTCCAGAAGCAACCTCTCCCCCCAAAAAGTGGGGATGAGGAGTGTTTTTTGTTAGAAGATAGGAGACTTACTATTTAGAAATCTTCCCCAGATGCAACAGGATATATTTGATTCTAATGAGCTAAGAGTTATATTTAGGAACTGGAGAAGTGCATGTGCGCGTGTGTGTGTTTATAACAAAGATTGTTCTTCTGTCCCCAGAATGTTCATACTGTGGAGCCCCATGGGACCAGTATAAACTCTGCTCCACTCCCCAGTGCCGCCAGCTCGTCTTGACCTGCCCCGCCTGTCAAGGACAAGGACTCACAGCCTGTTGTGTCACATGTCAAGACAAAGGGAGCAGGCCGGCTTCAAGCCCTGCCCAGCACAGCTTTAAAGAGGAATGTGACTGTACAGCCCGACGGCCACGCATACCCAGTGAGCTTTCACAGCAGGCGCCACCCCCCCTGAGCCCAGAGCCAAGACCTGATGTTGCTGAGGATGGGCCCTGCTTGTGTGAGCGGCACCGGCAGCATTTCCCTGAGGCTTCACAAAGCTAGGTTTGAGGCAGCCATGTATTCGGGAATATCCAGGCTGCAGCAACAGAGAAATGGGGAACTTGGGTGCTGGCCAATGACACCATGGCACACTGGTCACCTATTGGCCACTTATCCTACATAATAAAAGCCTAATATGCTAAGTGTCTGGTGGTCCGAGTGGCTGTTCAACCAATCAAAGCATAATATGCTAATGATCTGCTAAGGCTGCTCAACCGCTCCCTATGACGTGCACTGACCACCAGGGGGCAGACATTCCGACCGGTAGGTTAGCTTGCTGCTGGAGTTTGGTCAATGGGACTGAGTGAGATGGGCTGGACATGCCCTGGAGCCCTCGCACAGTCCCTCCCTGGCTGGCCAACCTCCTGCGTCCCTCACCAGCCCCGATCGTGCACTGGTGGGGTCCCTTGGCCTGGCCTGTGCCCTATTGCAATCCAGGACCCCTCAGGGGATGTTGGAGAGCCGGTTTTGGCCTGATCCTGCAGGCCAGGCTGAGGGACCCCACTGGTGCACGAATTCATGCACCAGGCCTCTAGTACTTCATAAGAGGAGAGAAGAGGGAGTTGGTGCTGACCACTTACCTGAAACATTCTGATTCAGAAGATGCTAGAGCACAGAAAAAGGTGAGCTGTGTGGGATCCCATAGCAGCTAAGGAATAGAGCCTTAAGCCTGGCAACCAGGTCATGCCTTTTCTGTGCCAGGTGTCAGGGCTGGTAGCAGTCATTTTTCTTGTCATCATACCTGTCTGTCCTGATGGTAAAAGTGTGAAAGCTGTGACCTTGGAAGTAGACTCCTTGGAACAAATCCCATTAGTCACCTGCCATCCACCCCAACCCTCACCTCACCTGTTAGCCTGCACTAGACCAGGATCTGTAAACTACGGCATTTGGCCCACCTCTTGCTTTTGTAAATAAAGCTTCATTGGAATAACCACACCCATTTTTTTTTTACATATGATTTAAGACAGAATTAAGTATTTACAACAGAAAAGTTATGGCCTGCAAAACCTATATTTATTACCTGGTCCTTTACAGAAAAAATTGCCACCTTCTGGTCTAAACCAACAGCTTGACTGATGGAACAGATGGTTATAAAGATTTGGCTCACCTTCATTTTTTATTGATTTGGTTTTTAACAGAGATTTTCCCCTAATAGTCTCTGTTTTCCCGAGTATCCACCACACTTTGCTTTTAACACTCCGGTGTGGGGTGAATTTCCCGCCAAAATATAAGATGGCTCTGTCTTTTGGTTTTGTTCCATCCACCAAAAGGGTGGATTACAAACAAATATTTGGTAATACGCAGTTACAATCGGCCCGAGTTTACACGTTTCCCGCACTCCACCGCAAATCTATATGAACTGAGTTAAAGACGGCTCCCGCGGAGTACGCGCAATTCACGCGAGCCGACTTAACTCGTTTCCCCCACTCCAAGTGTTAAGTATTTTCTTTGAGGGATTCAGATTAGCTTGATGACACATATGGGCAGTTTTTACACAAGTGCCTTGGGATACAAGACATTCTGAGTGAGGTCATCCAGCACTGCCGTGGTTTCCCGGCCTTGTCAGTGCGTGTCCCTGTCACACAGGTCCCAAGAAACACATACGCAGTCATTCATAGACCAACAGATTTAATGTTACATTGCAGTTTCCAGTGATGCAGAATACAGCTGCAATTGTGTTTCAAGGAGAAGCCGGTGGTGCCACTCCTGGGCCCGTCTGCAGCCTTGTAGACACTCTTCCACAGAGGTGGCTCCACCTCCGGTTACCCTGCACCGTCCACGGCATTACAGTTCAGTGTGCAAGACTTTTCCTTTCTCGTCAAAAGCCTCTCTGCTCAGTGCTCTGCAGCAGTCTGCTCGTCAGCTCTTTGGCCTGGCCTTTATCAGGAGATTTGTCCTATCACTCATTGAATGTAACTTCCCAAGCAACAGAAATACTAGCTCGACTGGCACTGTGGTATGTTAAAAGGCACAAGGGCATTGTGGCTTCACATTTTTGCTGGATCCCAAGAAGTGCCATGATGTTAAAAGGATGCAGCAGAGATACCAAAATTACGTTTTCAGAATCATCATCTTGGGATAGTTTGGCCAGGGTTTCCTAATTCTTTACTATCTGGGTCTTCCCTGTTGGCCTTCAGAGGCTTAACTTTTTAATTAAGATTAGCAGTGACGTGTCTAGTAAGTGCTGCCACAGGTAGTTGCAAGTCTGTCAGCATAGACTGGAAATTTATCCCTCTAACATTTGACTTCAAGTAAGCCATTAGCGCACTGTGCAATATAGAAAGGTGTTTTCAAGTATTTGGCCACAGGTTTTCATATCCATCATAAGGTTAGCATTCAATAAAGGAAAAAATTCTTTCTGACTCCGGTGTTAAATTGTAAATAAACCCCAGATGCCATAAAGAACATTCCAGGAGCTGTTTGTTGCCTGGGATTGGTAAAGACAGGATGGTTTTTGAAACTTGGAATTTCCTCATATCCAGCAAAAGGAATCTCGTGTTCTTTGATTCCTGGCAGAGCTCAGTGGCTTTAGTCTTTCTGTCTTTCTTGAGGGGGAAAATTGTGTTCTTGATCCATCAATCAATTTGGCAACTTTAATCTTGAGGTTCTTCAATTTAAAGAAGGGTTAATAAAAAACCTGTTCTGCTGGCTAAATAGCTAAGATCAAGTTTGTAATAAAGTATTGTATAATGCTTCTACACCGTGCGGAAGGGTGTGCTGTTTGTTCGTGCATCAAGCATAGTCAATACACCTGAAACGCCATATAGCAAGGCCACCAAAACCAGGCTCTCAGGTAAGTCACTGCTGCTGTAACGTCATCTTCAGGAAGATCTGCCGGTCCAGGGGCTTCTTAGTTTTTAAACAATAACCAGACTGAACTTCTGTGACTAAAGAAAAACTTCACATTAACCATAATTTATAAAATTTCAACTGTAACCACTAGTTATCCTAAAACCTTTGTGCATAAAGAACTGAACCACAAAAGGGTTTGTGCCGACATTCTGCCTTCTGGCTTCCACTGCAGAGCACAGATTACCAGTAGAACGTGTCCAGTTCAGAGGCGTGGTCACCGCCACACACTACACTCCACTCCGGCACTTGGGAATGATGGGCCCAGTCAAGTCTGCGAGCCTCCTCTTCCTCACTGGAAAGGAAGGGAGATGAGATGTAAGCCAGTTGTCCCTGTGCACCAGGAACCACCTCTGTGGCTCAGAAAGCGCTGTGAGCTTCTCGCTAACGCTTTGGTTAGCAGAGTCTGAAGCCAGTTGTTTCTAAAGGGTACATATGTGTGGTTGTGTAACGGCCCTCCCACTTGTCAGCGTTCACCGATGAGGGTCTGTGGTCATGTAGACTCATTCATAAATTACTTCTAAGTCGCTGACCTACAGGTATAAAATGCCTTTATCCAGCTCCACTGCTTTAACTTTACGTACAGAGGCCCTGCAGCGAAGATCCTTAGTCCACTTCAGATGAGTTAAGTCAGTCTTCTTAGTAAGACTAGGGTCTTAACTGCTGGATACGTTTCCCTTGGCTTTCTCAGAGTTCCTGGCCTCCCTCCTGCCTATGTAAACAACAGTGTCTACACTAAGATTCCCCTGCATTATCTGTCCCCTCAGGGTTAACCCTGACATTTTCCCAGACGCAAAACATAAGCTTAAACGCAATCACAGAACAAAGTAGTTAAAAGCCATAAAGAAGAAAGAAGAAAACACTAGCCAGGAGGTTGCAGGCTGGAGGCATTAGCTTATAGGACCACGGGACAGGGAACGGGGTTCCCTTGGTTGTAACAAGGGAGAGTGTTCTGAAATGAATTAAGTGTCTGCAGATGAAGACCAAGCAGCAAGCTAGATCAGCCACGAGAGGAAGAAGTCTGTAGAGCTGGAAGGTGGCCGTCAGGGGGCTGCTGGTGTGGCAGACAGGAAGCAGAGGAAAAAGGTCTGTCTATACTTAGATGTCTTCCAGTTCCCGAGCCGAGCCGGTAGACCTGCAGCCAACAGATGGATGAATACGAGCTGCAACATGAACCAAATCAGCTTGTGCAAACATGGAGCCTATATAGCAGAACCACCTAGGAAGGTGCGGTACTCGGGTCGTGGCTGGGAACTGGGGGTGGGGCGTGGGGCACAGGGCACCCAGTATGGGGCCCAGAGTTCAGTTGGTGCCTGAGCTCCTGCACACCCCTTCGTCCCCATCTGGAGAATAATAAATGCAAATCAATGGGCAATCTCCTGATGAGAAAACACTGAACTATCAGAATGTCCAACAGCTTGGGGTTGGATGTGGAGAAACAACCCTAAGAGTGGAAGAGGTTCACCTGAGGTGACCAAAGGGTTATGATTCAGGGGTGGGGAACATCTGGCCCATGGGCCGTATAAAGCCCATGAAATCATTTGATCTGGCCCTGCCAAGGCATTAGGGATGAGTTAATTAAATGTTTGACCAAGTATAGCAGGCTGATTTTTAAGTTGATAATTCTGTATGGCCCTCAAATGATGTCATAAATATCCAAATGGCCCTTGGCAGAAAAAAGGTTCCCCACCCCTGGTTACGTGAACAGACCTTTAGGCATGTCCATGTTACCTGTGCAAGCATGCCCAGCAGGGCAGCCTCTTTACACCTCTTTTGCATGCAACACCTCATGGCAGCCCCTCCACAATTCTGGAATGTCAGTGTTGTTACCATTTCCATATTATGGACGAGGGAAGAAGGGCAGAGAGAGAACCAAGGCTTGTGCCTCAGTCCAGCGCCTCTCTCAGTACCACCCGAGCCCTCCATGTGGGTTTTACATATCCACAGCTCATCTGGTTCTCACAGGACATTAGCTCCATTCCCCTGGACAAGGAAAGAGCCAGGATCCTGAAAGCTGGTGGCAGAGTCAGGACTGGAACCTGGTCCCCAGCCCAAGCTCAGGGTAGAGAAAGGGATGCCTCCCGTGTTTCCTTCCCCGCTACATGCCCTCACTGCGTACACTGGGCTGGGTCTGTCCTAAGTTCCCCTGCACTGATGTCGCAGGGACTGGGTGAGGAGAAGGGGAGGCACCCACTTACTCAATATTCTTTCCCCCCATTTTAAGGAAATTGAGGCCAAGAGAGGGAATAACATGCTCCAAGTCACGAGAATAAGTGACAGAACTGGGAGTAGAAGC